GGCCGCAGTGGGCCGACAAGGGGCGGCGCCTGCATGGCCTCCTCGCCCAGTATCGCATGCGAGCTCCTAACGCCTCTGGACCAGCTGCAGGACGCACTGGAGGCACCCCGGTGGCCCGGGTGAGACAAGGATCGACCGCGCCGCTGCCCCGCGCAGCGCGGGCCCCTAGGATTCCGCAAGGGTCATCCGTGAGGCCCCGCTGGCCCCGGGCCCCTCTCGGGACCATGTGATCGTCGGGGCATCTGCGCATGTTGGCCGACCTTTCACTGAGCGACCCCCCTAGACACCGACGCCGACGTGGCACCGACAACACGTGCTGAGCTCTCTGCAGGCTCGGCAGCGCTGGTCCACGGTAGAGGCGGGGGCCCCAGGCAGCGGCGGCCCAGTGGCCGCCTCCGCCAGCGACGCCCGGCGCTTCCAGGGCCGCGCGCACCGCGCCGTCGCCGTCAGGGATCACCTACAGTTCGCGCAGGGCGCCTATGACGCCGCCGTGGAGGAGAACGTGGCCGAGGGCATCTTGCCGGAGGTCCCTGAGCTCGAGAGCAAGGCCGAGATGAACTTGAGCATGGGCCGCGCGGCGGAGCCCTGCGACTCCGAGGGCAATGCCGCCGCGGCGGCGGCCGCGGAGGCGGGCGAGGTGCGCGAGGGGCACCCGCAGGGCAAACGCCCCAACGCCCTGTTCCGAGCGGTTCTGCACCACCTACAGCTGGCACATCGAGAGCACGGGGCCGCCCTGGAGGAGGGCGCGACCGAGAGCGCCCAGCGGCGGGCCCTGATGGCCTCGAAGGCGGCGTCCGCTGCCAGCGAGAAGGCCTCTCAGAGGAATTCGTTCCAGGCATCGCGCCGCTGGATCGGAGCGACTGGCCGTCGGCGCGCGCTGATCGCATCCATCCCGCAACCCCGTGGGGCGTCGAAGTGGCAGGAGCTTGCGGGACTTATGATCGACGACGGCCATGCCCCTCGCACCACGCCGTGAGCTCAAGGCAGTGACGTCGTAGTTTGGGACGTTGGGTCTACTTCAGGTGTGTCCACCAGGTTGCACGCGCCAGTGCTCACTTCACCAGTAAAGCCTGCTGCAGGCGCCTGGTGTAGTTCTGTGTTTTTCCCAACGCTTGTGCCACCTCGTCCGCCCTCCTTCCTTCTTACCCCCCTGCGTTGCTGACTTTGCGTTTGGCTCGGCCCGCAGCCCTGCCTGGGTATAGCCTGGAGCGTTGCCGACTTCGCATTGCTGGTAAGGGCGGCTCTTGCCATGCTGCACTAGGCTTCTCCTGCACATGATGTGTTGCGCCGTTTGAGAATCACTGCTCGCCGCCAGCCAGTGGCCAAAGGGTCGCGTGCGGATGTGCGGGTTTCCCACCAGTGGGTGGTGAGCTTCGTTCGTTGCGTCCGTGGGCGCGCGCGCGCGGGCCGACCTTGCGGTCGGCTTTGCGAATGCTCGCGAGACCTCAGCGTTGGGGTTGTGTCTTCAAAAAAGCGCGCTTGGATTCGAAGAGTCGCGCGATGGACGCCGGCTGCCGGCCCAGAGGGAACAGTATTTATCAAGTGGAGAGGTCCAGGGGAGGAGTGCTGGCCGGGTCGGGCCTCCATCGGGGCGTGGCGGATGACTGGCAGCTCGCTTGCGCGACGGACGTTGGTTGTCGGCCCGGAGGGGAATATATCTATCAGGGGGGGGGGTCCGGGGGAGGAGTTGTGGCGGGCGGCGCGAAGGCCAGCCCCATTTGGCGGCCACCGTCTCGGTGGCGATGTCGCCCGTGAGCACCGCGCGCAAGACGCCGGCCGCGTCCGGCGCGAGCTCGTCGCACTCCAGCAGACGCCGGGGTGACCAGCGGTCGGCCCCGCCCGCGACGTGTCCGAGGTCAGCGCGCGGCGGCCCCCCCACTGCGCGGGCCTCGCGCCGCGCCCAGGCGTCCAGCAGCGCGGGTGTCCTGGAGCGGGCGGTCGCGAAACCGCCAGCCGTCTGGGGCCCAAGGCGCGCCCTGCCAGCGCTCGATCTCGCCACTGGGGCCGGGGTCGGCCATGCTCCGCCGGGCGGCCGCGAAAGGCCCCTGCCGGCGGCCGTGGCCTGCGTCCGTCGTGCCTGCCATCTCGCGCCAGAACCCGAGCGGCAAATGCTGGCGGCGCAGCGCCTTCGGCGCATGCCACAGCGGGGCGAGGGCAACGACCGCGGCAAGGTCGAGGCGCCAGCTGCAGCGCTGAGCACGCCGAGAACGATCGGCTGCAGCCCGCGTGCCCGCCCCGGCAGACGGCCTGCCGCGCTGCCGACCGCAGCCAGGCCAGCTCGCGTTCGGACGGACGGCCGCACGAGGCGCCATGCATGCCGGCAGACGTGGCAGCCGCCGAGTCCAGCAAGCAATGTTGCCAGAAGCCCACCAGAAGGTGGGCGACGCGGGCGAACTGAGCAGCTGCTAGGCGGCAGGGAGGTCATGGCGGTCGATGTCGCCCAGGAGCGCCTCCTCACGACCTGCCCGCGCGGCTGCCGTGATCGCGCGCGCCGCCCCAGCGCCCCAGCCCTCCACAGCCCAACCATCCAAAGGTGCGACGGGCTGTCGCAAAAGGGCGGCTCTGGCGCCGCCACCTGCAGCTCCACCAGCAGCGCCGCGAGCGTGGCCAGCCCCGAATCCCAGCGCAGTCCGACCCTAGCCACCATCGCCTGGGCCTGGGCGTTGGCAAGGATTTAGTCGATCCGAGATGGGACCCCGTGCGACGGCATGCGCGCGGGGCCGGAAGCGGCGAGGAGATCCCTCCAGTCCATGCCCAGGAGGCGTTCCAATCCACAGTCGCGGAGGCCAATATTGAGGTCGCCCACCAGCAGCGCGGGCGGCCCGCCGAGGCCATGCAGCCACTCGTCGAGCCCCTCCAGCAGCAGGTCGGCGTTGCGCTCCGCGTCGGGATGGCCGCCGGCGTAGCCGTAAATTCAAGATATCGATTTGCGTACCCTGGTCCGAAGTCAGCCGCGAGATGCCGGTGCCGCCCAGGGTGCCGCCCGGAGAGCCCGGACCTCGCTCCACCCCGACCCGGCGAACGTGCAGCCGCCAGCAAGTGCTCGCCCCCGGCGGCGGGCCCCGGCTGCAGCGCCATGCCGCGCGCCTTGACTGCGGTCGCGGCTGATTCCGCCTCCGCGGCGGGAGTGCGCGCCTTTTGCACGCACCAGACCTCCGCGCCCACATCAAACAGGCTGCGCCAGCTCGCGCTCCAGCGGGTGACGTTCGCCACGAGCACCGTGGCGGACTCGGGCGGCCTCGGGCGCGGCCACCCCCCGGAACCGGCAGGGCCGGGCAGCTGCGCCTCTCCGACCCGCACGCCCCTCCACGGGCCCCGCAGCCGGCGAACCCAGGCGGGCTGCAACAGCGCCAATAGCCCGGCGGCGCAGCCGCAGTCTTGGGCCAGGCCGCCGCAGGCAGCGGCACCGCCGGCAGGGGGCAGAGGCGGGCGCGCTCGCCCTTCCCGGGTCGCACCTGCCACCCGAGCGTGCCGAGGGCGGCGGCAGGGCGCCCGGCGTTGCATGAAACGCCGTGCCGCCGCGGCAGGGCGCAGCGGTATAGTTGCCGCTGCCCTGGCACAGCCGCGCGGGCTGGACGAAGAGAGGGACACGAGGCTCCTGGGGCTCTCGGGGGCCCCCCGCGATCCGTGGACCTGGAAAGGTCGCCGTCGGGAGACCGCAGGGGCGCACATGCTTTCAGAAACGTCCTCTTCAGGGATTGGGCGATTTCTGCCTCTTGGGGGTCCTCTTGGAGCCTTCTTTTGGGGCGTCTAAGAAGCCATTTGGGCAGTCTCGAGGCCTTCTCGGTTGTCTTGGAGCTCTCCTCGGCGTGTTGGAGCCCAGCTTGAGCCAGCTGAGAGTCCACGGAACGCGCAGATTTGGAGGCCCCGGAGGCCCCGGAGGTGCGCTGAGGAACCCGCCCTCCATTACTCATCCCCCCCCCCCCCGAAGTCGATGTTGGACCCTGGGGGAGGGAACAAGCTAACTGTCTCACGCGCCTTTTCACCCTGAGCAATCGGGGACCACTGGATGAGTGGATGCCCAGGCGAGATGTGTGCCCAGCTGCCTCCTGCAAGTCTGTCGCCGTGGCCAGCGCAGCAGAAGCAGCTACCTGAGAAGGCAAGGGGGCGTGCAGTGCTGGGGGTCTCTTGGGGCAGAGGCCTCGAATTCCAGATTCGCATCCCCACTCTTAGACCCTTCTCGGGGTCATCTTGGGGCCCTCTTGAGCAGTCGTGGGCGCCTCTTGGGCCGTCTTGGAGCCCTCTTGGGTGGGCAGTCTTGGAGCTATCCTGGGAGCCTCTTGAGCCGTCTCAGGGTAGTCTTGGGGACCTCTTGGGCCGTCTTGGAGCGTCGAAAGCTCGAAATGACAAAGACCAACAAAACATTTAAAAAAGCCAAAGTTTGGGGCCTCGTTCGGTCATCGTGAGCCCTCCTGAGCCCTCTTGGGGCGGAAGGCTCGAATTGTCGGTTTGTTTTGACCCTCTTGGGCCTTTCTTGGGGCCATCTTGATGCCATCTTGGGCATTTTTGTGGTGCCTCTTGGACCGTGCTGGAGCACTCTTCCTCCTGGGCCGTCTTGGGGCACTCCGAGTGGCTTCTTGGATCGCCCGGTGACATCGGCAGCTCGGAAAGACGCAGCAAAAAAGGGTGGGTCACACTTAGCCTAGATACCCATTCGCTAATTAAGCAAGTTAGGTCCTTGTGTAACCCACTTGGGTCAACCAACCTCAGCATCCATTTGTAACCCCCCCGTCCCCTTAGCAACCCAAGTGTAGTCGTAAAAATAGAATCCCGACGGCGGGTTTGGGACAGTTTCCGGCGCCCCTAAGGCCTCACAGGGTTAATGGACATTCAAAAACGATTCGGAATGAAGCGCCGTTCCTTGGGAAGTGGTCTAGATTTTCAGGGCGTTCCTCCCGCCCCTCGCCACCGTCCCCACACTCCCTTCCTCCCTTCTGCTCCTCCCTTGCCCCCCCCCTCCCCCTCCTTGCGCGCGGCGATGGACATGACTTTTCTGCCAGGATGTACGGCGGCGGCCCCGGCCACAGCCTGGGCGACCGCCTGTTGGCGGACGTGGCCTACCTGCACGACCAGTTCGCCAGGCTGGACTGTATTTCCGCCGCCGTGCTGCATCTGTTGTCGGACCTCGTGCGCCACATCCAGGCGGGGCTCCCCTCCCGCTCTCCCTCCGCTACAATCGCACAACACGACCCGCTCTCACTTGATGTCGTACCAGTAACTACATCGTGCATCCAGTTTCTTGACGCTGAGGGTGGTCTGGAGCTGCCACTATATATAGAGAGAGGGAGCTTGCCCAAGCAGATTATTCTCTGCCGTTTAAAAGTAATGCTCTCGCTGGCGCGTTCGCCGTTCGCCATGATGAACAAACAGCCTCCGTCCAACGGAACGACGCCGTCGCCGTGTTCGCCGAAGTCGTGGTTGTACCGTTTGCATGCAATCAAAGCGCTGGTTGCCTGAGAGACGGTGTCATATCGCCTATCGCTGGTGAGTTTGTCGCATTTGATGTGCACCAGGGAGCCTCCGCCCACCAGAGCTATGGTGTCGCCGCAGTGGTGACAGTGGTGGTCGCGCCTGTGGAAGTGATGATCTCGTTGCAGGCTGTGGCCACAATTCTGACACTCCCGTCGATATACAATGGGACGTTTCTACAGTAGCCTGCATCATCGAAAGTAGTGCCGCTCCCCCCCCCTTCACCCCGCGCAGCGCGTGCGCCACATTGATTTCCATGGAGCTTCCTTCCAACGGAACGGCGCTCTCGCCTCGGCTCGTGCTGCCAGTTGCTTCCGCATGTGGTTTTTGTTCTCACCAGGAGTAGTTGTTGCGTGCCTTGTTTTGCAGTGTATGAAATTGGGTGCCACTTTTTTTTGCCGACACCCGGCTCTGCGAATAGAAAGGGGTGCACCTCAAGTGGAAAGTGACGCGGGGAAGGAGTAGGACGTTACATGTGGCGCGATCGCAGCTATTTTGCACCCAGCCCTCTCCCGCCGCCTCGCCCAGTCCCCTCCTCTTCTCTGCATCCGCTTCGTTCCTCTCGCACAGTATACTGGTATACTGGTTCCTCTCGCACAGTATTCCTCCTGTCTTCGTTGTATACGTTGTTCTCCTTGGCCCACCTTCCTTTCAGCGACTTTCTACTTCCTCACCGCCAGCACTAGGTTATTTGTTCCCGTATGCAATCATCTCCCTAGCTAACCCCAATCATCGTGTGTCACTTCCTTGCTTCCCCTTATCCCTTTGATGGATGTTTTTTCCTGTTCATCTATCCCCCTTTCGACCCCTTGCGTCCTCCACTTTCACCCGCTGTTATCCTTCTTCCTCTCCCTCGCCTTCCTCTCTCGTCGTCGCCATCCACCCCGATCCTCCACCATCATCCGCAGGGAGGACACGCGACATCACTGCCAGCGGGCCACCAAGCGGCCCACCACCAGGAGGGAGGGGCAACGAGGGAGGAAGGAGGGGGAGGGAGGGAGGGAGGGATGGAGGAGGGGGAAATCAGGAGGGAGGGGCAACGAGGGAGGAAGGAGGGGGAGGAACGGAGGGAGGGAGGAGGGGGAAGTGGGGGGGGGAGGGTAGGGAGGGAGGATGGGTTCACTCTCATCTCCCACCCTCGTACCATCCCTCCTCTCTTCCCTGTCTCCTCCCTCTCCCCCTCCATGAGCGCCACAACCGGCGTCAGCCAAACATGCTCATGCTTATGCTCATGCTACGCGTGCGTCGCCCCCTGAAGGGGCGACAACCGCCCTCAGAAGTCTGATAGTTCACGCGGGCGGGCCTTCCAGGGCGCTTGCATCCCCATCGCGCACCCCCCCCCCCTGGCGCGCCGACTGTGCCAGCGTGCCCCCTCCCGCGTCCCGCACCTTGCCCCCCCCCCGCGCGCACGAGGTGAAGCTCCCCGCTGGCGACCCCCTCCGGCGCCCGCACCGCCCCCTGCTGGACGCGCTGCGGCGCGCGGGGCGCCTGCCGCAGCAGTAGCGCCCCTCCCCTGCCGGCGGACGGCCGCCCTGCTGGCGGCGAGGAGCGGCCGGAGCCAGAAGAGCAGCTCGCCTCGCGCCGCGGGCCCCTCCCTCCCCAGGCAGGAGGAGGAGGAGGAGGAGGAGGAGGAGGAGGAGGAGGAGGAGGACAAGGAGGAGGACAAGGAGGAGGAGAAGGAGGAGGAGGAGGAGGAGGAGCTCCCAGAGGAGGAAGAGGTACCCATATCGGGTCGGGCGAAAGGGGGGGGATTGGGAAAGGGGGGGTTACGAAATTTGCTGCATGCAGCTGGTTTAGGCCTCACCGAGGGGCCCATTCCTCGACACATAGCCGGGAAAATCAGCGCCGAGAAAATCAGCTACGTGAGCTGATTCTCCCCCCCCCCTTTGCTATCCCCCCCTTTCGCCCGACCCGACTCCCGGAGGAGGAAGAGGTACCCATACCGCTGCCCTTCCCCCGTTTTCCCCCGTTTTGGGGCCTCCTGGGAGGCACTCAGCGCCGCCGCTGGATGCGCTTTGAGACTCTGGTCAGAATTGCACCCCGGGTCAGGTCTGGGGATCGGCGGTGTCGGCACCTATTGGTTTCCCCAGCGCCGTGAAACGAATCATCACGACGGGAGCTGTTTTCACTGGTTTTTGCAGTTTTCGGCTTCCGCGGGCCTTCTCCGGGCCCAAGGGCCGTTGGATGTCGCATCGACAGCGCAGTTCTCCGTTACTTGAGCACAGCCGCATTGCAATCATCGCTGTTATCAGGTCAATGGCGCAAAGGGCTGACTTCGTAACGGGCGGGGGCAAGACGCGTTCAGGAAGAGGGGGATGGATTGTCTGCGCTGGTTTGACTCCATCTGGCTTGAAGTGGCGAGGACATGTCTGGACCACTTCGGCGCGCAACGCAGAATTAGCCCGGGCTTTCGAACTATTATGTCGAGTATTCCACCGCGCCTGTGCGCAGGCCCTGTTCCGTCTGTTGCGAATGGGACGTACGTAATTCCCAGTATCATATTTTTCGGAGCCAGCGGCGGGGGAAGAGGAGTTGGCGGGGGAGGAGGGCTCCAGGCGGAGGAGGTGAAGGCGGCAGGTCGCGGGCATTCGCGAAACCAGGGGAGGAGGTGGAGGAAAACCCGCCTCGTGGCCCCCGGCCACGAGGAAGGCCACACGCACGCGGCGCCATGCGAGCCGCCTGCGATGATTGTAGGCCCCCGACCAGGCGGCCCGGCGGTGTGGGTCTCGCCACCCGCTCGGGCGCGTGGCCGCCCGAATGGTGCTAAGGATGGAAGGCACGCGAAGCGTTTTTTGTTTCAGAATTCCGAAGTGCACGCTTAACGTGCACTCTATACACTTGGCCGTATAGCGTGCACTTGCAATTCCCGACGTGCACGCCAAATACGGCAACTTGACCGTAGCTGTACGCAGCAGATCCTTACTGACATGCTCTTTCTACAATACTTGTCCTGTGCACGCAGGCGTTGCGGTGTACACCAGCGCTGTGTTGCACGCGGATGCTGTGGTGTACAGGGGCGCTGTGGTGTGCACAGGCGCTGCGGTGCACGCAAGCATTGTGGTGTACACAGGCGCTGTGTTGCACACGGCTGCTGCGGTGTACGCGTTCACGGTGATGTACACAGGCGCTGTGGTGCACGCAAGCGCTGTGGTGTACACAGGCGCTGGTGTACACGCGCGCTGTGGTGCACGCGAGCACTGTGGTTCAATCAGGCGCTGTGGTGCATATCGCCATCTACATGCTGCCCCTTTTGGCCTCGGTCATCCCTAGGCATTCCCAGGCGCCGCCGGCGCGGTGCGTGGGCTGTGACGGCCGTCATGGCGGAAAAAAAGAATGGCTCTTTGACGCCACATGGGTTCGATCCGATTTCAAATTGGCTCCAAGGCCGAATTGGCTCAGAATGCGAATGGGCTCAGGATTGAACGCTGCTTCCATCCGCTGACACGAGATGGAAGCCATTGTGTGGCCGTTTGGGGTTTGCGAGCACGACCTTTGCTTGCGGTAGGTTCGTGTCGTGTCGACGCGGCGGCCACCCCAGTGCGGGCGCTCACGTCTGAAAGCCGCCAATGGACCGGAGTCGGCCGACGTAAGGCCGCGGTCGCCAAAGGCGGAGCGATCCGCGACGTGCCAGGAAACAACGCGCAACCCAGACAGCCGATGTTTCCATGTGTTAGAAGAGGGGCCCCCTCGAAACCCCGACCTTTCCCCCCACCAGCTTCTCGTCTTGAGCAGTGCTTTGACGATCCCGGTGCCCGAAAGCGACCCTCGGAGTCTGAAAGTCACGAAACATTCTTGGTCCCTCCGCTTGACCCAGCTTCGGGAGTTCTTGTGCGGCAGGCTGGATTAACGAGCGCAGCCCTTGCTTGCAGTGGGCTGTGCGGCGACCCCAGCGCGAGCGTTCGAGGTTGAACGTCCACAGTGGCCCTTGCGCAGTCGGCCGAGCGACCCCCGTCGCGGGACACTCTGGCAACACGCTCAGCCGCCACAAAAGCCATGGATCTGTCGCTCGGCCGCGCAAGCGCGCCAGAATCGGCTGACATCGACCGACCTGGCACTAGGAGAAGGCCGCGAGCGCTCCAGGATTGAACGATCCTTTTTCGGTCGTGTCCGCGAGCGAAGGCGCAGGCGGAGTCAGAAGCGTTCCGGGACACAGGATTGAACCATCCGCGCGCTTTTGCGCGACTCGTGCAGCTCCTGCTCTTTGTTTCCAAGATCTCCTTCCTCCTCTCTTGCCACATCCTGCGAAGAAAACAAGCGCCAGGAACACAAAAGTTGGGTGCTCTCGATCCGCGCGGCGCCAGAAAAAAACCAGCCCTCTCCGCCGACGACGCTGGTCCTTGGCCGCGGCGTGGGCCCCCTGGAGGTCTCGGCAGTTCCCCGGGGGACGAGCTCTTTCCCTCCCGAGCCGCCTCCGGAGGAGCCCGCGAGAGGGCCGGGAGGCGGCCGCCCGATGCCGTAGGCATGGGGAACCAGGTACTCCGGATTTCGTAATAAAAGGGAGGGGGTCTGGACCCTCCAAGACAAGCCATTT